TTTTATAAATATATACAGAACATATAAAATTTATATATATAATAAATTAATAAAATAATATATATTAAATTTATATAATTTGATTTATGATATATATATAAAATATAAATATATATAATGCAAAATAAATTTTGTTTTCATGTTAGATAAAAAAAGCAAATAAAAAAAATTGATATCACGAATATTTCTTTTTTTAATAGTAAAATAAATAATTAACAAATTAAAGCTTACAACATTCATTCATGAAATAATGCCATTGATATAAATTCTTTTTCATTTTCTTTATCTAACTTATAGGCAAAAGTTTATTAAGTATATATATAAAATATAAGTATAGGTACTATACATATCAATAGCATATAAGAAAGAAAAAATATAATAGCAATTTCATATTTAAAAATAATTGTTTAATAAATATTCTAAATGAATTTATATGTAAATTTTCCGAAATGAGAAACTCTTAAAAATGAGAAAACTAAGAAAAAAGAACTTATTAGAAAAAAAAAGAAAATAAAAAATAGAATATAAAAAAGTATATATTAATGATATATAGTGATATAAGTGATATGCTGTATAATAGGTTTCTAATAGAAATATATGGATATCCGCGATTTAAAATTATATGGATTGAAATTCATAGGTGATTTTATTTATTATATGTGTATTTATACGTACATGTATTTATATATATATTACATATCCGTGAGATAAAAATTTCTGATAAAAATGGGTATTATCTTGATTTAAAATTTCTTAAGATTAAAATTTTAAATTCTATATGTATGACATAGCACCTTTATGTAGTGATTATAATTTTACGTAGTAGAAATAGCGAATTTACTGTAGCAATTGTATCGCCATGAATCGAATAGTGATATTTGGAGCTACGGGAAATACAGGATTATGTGCTTTAAATAGTGCTGTAAATAAGGGTAAAATGTTATTTATTTTTTATTTCATTAATGTGTGCCAAAAAATAATTTTAATTATTTAAAATATAATATGAATGAAATTTAATGAATATTATTAAATATGTACATTTATTTAATTGTGTGTATTTTTATATATGTTCAATAAGTTATATATTTACAGAAATGTTCAATATATATACAGAAAATGATCTTAATAAAAAACATTAATAATCAAATAATTTTTTTTTAAGTTTTCTTAACAAAATATAAATTATAATATTTGAAAAGTGTAAATCTTATAAAATTAATTTTATTTTTTTTTTCATCAATCATGTAAAAAATTTAGGATTAAATGTAAAGGTATTTGTGAGAGATGAAAACAAAGTTCCAATGAATTTAAAAGATAAAATTGAAATAATTATTGGAGATGTTACTAACAAAGAACAAGTTTCAAATGCAATATCTAATACAGATGCAGTGGTTGTTGTGCTTGGTACACGAAATGATTTAAGTAAATATCTTTTTTTGATATAAAATATTATAATATAAATTTTTTGATTTAATACAAGTTCAATTTTCATTGTAAATTTTTATTTAGGTCCAACTACAATATTGTCTACTGGTATGAAAAATATAATAGATGCTATGAAAATGCACAATGTAGAAGTAATATCTGTTTGTTTATCTGGTAAATTTTTGTAATTTGTAATTTTAACTTTTCTATTAGAACTAATTTATATGTTTTTTAATAGCATTTTATTATTTTTACAGCATTTTTATTTTACAAACCTGAAGCAGTGCCTAATATATTTAAAGATTTAAATGCAGATCACCAACGTATGTTTGATCTTCTTAAAAAAAGTCAATTAAAATGGATTGCAATATTACCACCTCATATTGCAGGTATTTATTATAATAAATGTTATATTATTTATAATTTTTTAAGAAATTATTAATATATATATGTATATTTATATATTTTTCAAAAAAATTAATATTTTATGAATTTGCAGATGTACCAAATTCAAAATATATAGTGAAGCATGATGAATCTCCAGGTCGAGCTATTTCCAAACATGATTTAGGTGCTTTTCTTATTGAAAGTCTTCAACAAACAGAACATTATCAAAAAGTATGTGGTATTGCTAACACTGCATAACAAAAAATACATTTGTAATATATAAAAAATTTAAAAATATTTTATAAAATTTTGTTTATTTTTAAAGATATAAAAAAATAAATAATAAATTTAGAAATTTATTATTTTTAATTTGTACAAAAGAAATTGTTAATTTTTTAAAGAATATCTGTGACTTTAAACATCTATTGGAATGATTGTAAATTATGATTTGTAATATATGAATGAGATGTATGCATGAAAAACTAAATTTCTACATTTAAAAACAATTAAAAAAATAATTTTCTAGATAAATAAATAAATAATATACATATGGAATATATAAAAAATCTTATGTGTAAAAAGAAAATTGTTCATCATTGTTTTACTATTGTAATGATAATTTCTTTACCATATGTGTTCTGTGTGTTATAACACCTAAATCATAAAACTTTGGCATTTGAAAGTTTGGCATTGGAGGTGGTGGTGGACCACAACATTGTGTACTTTTCTCCTTAAGTTTTGCTTTAGTAAATGCTGCACTAGAATATACAACATCATTAATTCCTGATGCTTTAAATGGATCACAGGTTTTATAACCATTTTTAAAGTAAAAAACTTCTTGACCTTTAGTTATTAAATATACATTTTTAATTCCTTTTTTTGCTACATGCTCTTCAGCTCCACGTAATAATTTAGATCCAAGTCCCTGAGATCTACACTGGTAGTCAATTATTACTAACATATGAAATAAGAAATTTTGCTTTGAAAATATGTATATTTTCATTTCATTTTTTTTTATAATTATATTTACCTGATTGTATAAAGCAACTGTGACGTAATCTAGGTATTAAAGATATTTTACAATGACCAAGTACTCTATCTTCTTTGTCAACTAATATAAGACATGTAGGAAATTCATCACATGATACATTCAGAAATTTTAACCTATTATACATAAGAACTTATTTCATTTTCAAGTAGAAATTTTTTAAATTAAAAATTATAATATACCGTGCAGTTTCACTTCTTGGCCATTCAGAATTCAATAATGTACAACAATCTGGAATTAAATCTGGTCTTTTATGAAGTGGTATTATTTTATATTCCTTGTCAGTGGTCATTTTTTCTGTAATCATAAATTATTATAATGTAATGTTTGAAAAATTATTGTGATATTTAATTAAAATTTTTTTTAATTTCAATATATTTTAGAAATAAAACTGTAAAAAAATTTTAATAACAATTATAATTATAATTTCAAAACATATTAAAGATATAAAAAAATTATAATAAGAAAAATTAGAGGATAGAAATTTTACGATGATAAAATATTTTTATAATTATAACAATTTTTTTTTTTAAAAATACTGAGAAATAATTTATAATCATTCATAAATAGATATTCAAAATAAAATCTCTTCTTAAAAAAAAAATAATGTTGCGATAAGAATATATTTTTATACAAATTATAATACATAGATATAAAACAAAAATTCAGTAGATTGAATAATATATATTTTATATTAATTATATGAAAAATATTTCAATAAAGAGATTATATTCGAGAAATTCTTCTAACTTTAAATAGAAAATTGTGCGACAATTTGTGATTGAAAGATGTCAAAAAAATAAAAAGTAACATGTGTCAATGTGAACAAGTGTAATATATAAATAGTTTGATGTAGATGTCCTTACCGTATTTTTCTAATTGAATAATAAGAATCTAATTAAATTTAAAAGTCACTGTGCTTCACCTGGATATATCTCGCGTGGAAATAGCTCTGAGATTAATATCATCTTGAGCCAAGAATGATACTTCTGTTGAACATATCCCCACTATTATGTAAAATTCTTGCTGTATCCAGCGATATTATAAAATATATCATCTCATTTAAAAATAAATTTTACAAACTACAAATATACATCTTTTATATCTGATCTAATATCTAATATAATAAAGAAAAATCAATGATTTTTATTCTATATTTTATTCATTTATTCAATACTGCATTATTAATCTCCATTATATTTATAGTATTTCAGTTAATTAATAAAGAATATTTTATTTTTTAAAAGTAATTTTTTAATTAATTTTTTAGTACAATTTAAATTTTTAATAATTTCATTTATCTGAGTTTTTACTTTATTCTTAGATATATTTTATTTGCAAAAGATATAAATAACTTCATAAATTAATATACAAATTTACTTCTTGTTTTTAGTATTTTATTGGAACATGTCCATGACCTATTCTCTTTTAAACACGAATATCTTTTTTTGCATTTGACCCATTTTTTAATAGCTCTGTTCTATATGTGAACAATGTCCTGCATTCTTTATTTTGACAGTGATGGTCAATAACATTTTTCAATAAAACGATTTCAAATAATTACAGAAATGTAGATGTTTTATATTTATTATATATAAAAAAAAGGAATAAAAAAAATGTTTATAAATCTTCATATATTTTTCTATTTTTTTCTTTTATTAATATTTTAGATTTAAAACCTGAATATTTATATTAAGAGAACCATTATATATGAGAACCATTAATGATCATAGTAGTTGATTTATTTGCATATTGAGTTTCTAATTTCTTTTCATTTAATATAAATAAATAATAATATTTATATAGATTATTTATATATATGTTTATAATTATAAATAATAATGTTATATTTGAATTTTTGAAGAAAATAAATTGTATAATCAATAATAAATCGTGTAAATATTTTGAATCATTTTAAATCATATAATTTATGAATAAAAATGTTATCTGGAAGACCTGCTGTAACAGGTAATAATATATGGAAATGAAATCATCAATATAATTAATATAATAAATTTGTTTATATACTTTCTAACCTCTTGTTGTTATTTGATACGATTAATAGAAAATCCTTTGGGACTTTCTTGGCATGACAGTGCATGGATTCCTGTATTAAATCCAAATAATATAATGGATTATTTTTCAGAAAGGAGTAATCCTTTCTATGATAGAACATGTAATAACGAAATTGTTAAAATGCAACGTTTAAGTCCTGATCAATTACAGTAAGTAATATAAATAAAAATATCATTTAAAAGTATAATGTAAATATTTAAATATTTAATTTCAGAAATATGACTGGGTTGGAATATATTCTTTTACATGTACAAGCCCCTATTTTATATGTAATCAGAAAGCAACATCGTCATTCTCCAACTTTAGCAGCACCACTTGCAGATTATTATATTATTGCAGGTGTTGTATATCAAGCTCCTGATTTGGCATCAGTTGTGAGCTCTAGATTGGTATATATGATTTATTAAAAATTTTTATGAACATTATTAAAATATATCATTAATATATAATATTAATATATAAAATTATATTTTATAGTTATCTACAGTACATCATTTACAATCTGCTTTTGAAGAAGCTAGTTCATGTTCAAGGTATCATCCTAGCAAAGGTTATTATTGGGATTTTAAAAATGGAAAAGCTATGGCAGCAAAGAAAGAGACACCTGTTCGTGAAGAACCAAGTTCTTTATTTCAGCGTCAAAGAGTAGATATGTTACTTGCAGAACTTACACGAAAATTTCCATTACCTGTTCCGAAGCCAGTACATCAAGCTATAGAACCTTGTAAGTGCTTAATTCTTCATTTTTTAAAAGATGTTTTAAACATAAAAATAAATCTTTGTAAATTTTTTAGCAATGGAAATTAAACAAGAAATAAAAACAGAAAAGAAGGACATGAAACCACCACCAGAAAAGAACCAAAAATCAATTAATAGTTAATTTATAAAAATTTAATAATATAATATTTTATAAAAAAATGTTTTATATATATATATATATTGTATTTTATCTCAATTTTTATTTTATGAAGTATGATATATATATATATATATATATATATAATATTTCATTATTATATTTTTTCTGTTAAATAAAAGGTGTGATTTATTTATATTTGATGTATTATTGAATTTATAAAATTAAAAATAAATGTCAAATATATTTGTTATTCTATAGTTTTTATTATTATCTGCACCATGGACAGTCTAGATTATTATCCATTTCCTCTTTTATATTAATCCGTGGAAACTTTTTCTCCTTAATGCTTTTTTTTTTTAAATTTTTATCACAAAATTCTGGACATTTTATTTTCTTTCTAGGAGGTAGAGGTCGACAAGGATATCCTTGATGTTTTTGTGCTTGAATTAAATTAAAGTATCTTGAAGTAATTGGTTTGATCTATAAAATTACATCGTTTTTATAGATTAATAATTAATAAATAAAATTTATAGATATTTTGTTACAAACTTTCATACTGATTTGTACAATTGATTTAATATGATGCATTACGTTAAATTTTCAATAAAAAAAATGGTTATGAAAATATCTTGAAACTTCAAAATTATGTTGATAAAATATATTAGTATTTCAATTTTTTTTTAGAATTTCATTTGTAATTTTCTATTGTACAGAAAAATGGCATATAAGGTAAAAAATGATATGCGATGGAAATATATGTCCTGAGAAATACGAAGATATTGATCAAGACGAATTTATAAAAAATTTAAAACACGAGAAATGTAAAATAATTCAATTAGTTCGTCGACAAATACATAAATTTTATGATACTCAAGTAATATTAAATTAAATATCAATGAAAATTCTTGAGATATAATTTCCATTCATGTATCAAAAGAAATTAATATACATTTTTTTTCCAGTTTGAACTATGTCCAATATCAAATGAATGGCAAAAAAAGTATACGCAAGAACCAGAGTATATCTCGTATAAGAACATAAGAGAAACTACATCGAAAACTTTAGTTGCTCCAAAGAGTACAATATCGACTAATCAAGCATGGTGTTTATATGCTTTGAAAAGAATTCGAAGAAAAATTTGCATAGTAATATTAATTGCTGGAATTATCGCATTGATGGCATCAATTTACGGCATTTATTTTCACGCATATCTTTGTAATAATGGAAAATCTTGCGTCACATCACTTCGATACACTCACGTCAAACATGCATTATTTTAAATATGCACAATAGACACAACAAATTATGATAAATCGTCGGAGAAGATATTGGATTGTTGTGTTTGCGGGAAATTCTCATCGGAATAAGGAAACCATCTAAGACTTGACACAAAATATATTAAACTTGGAATAATACACCATGTGTAGCATTTAGTTAATATGCAACTAGTCTTGACTTTTCCTAAATTTTTTCAGTTCCATAGATTTTTCAATGATGAGACATTTGACCTGTAAGCAGTGTAATATGTACGTCGTAATATTCGTACTGTGCCGATCCGTCGTGCAATTTACACCAACTCGACAAGAAGACCAGTTGCAATTCATTTGACATTCGTCTTCAATGTCAATATAATTATTCAGTACAATTGTTTTTTAGGCTTTGTAATATCGGTCCTCTTGATATGTTTGGCTCGTTCGTTTTTTTTTAGATATTTTTTATACACAACTTTCTGGACCGGGTATAGAGTTGGCGATAATGATCTCCTTCATTAAATTACGATCTGCTTTAAAACTAATAGGTTCCCAAGATTTTGTGAAGAATGGATTTGACTATAATAAAAATTGAAAAAAAAAATTACATTTACAAAATGTATTAATATTATTATTTATTATTAATAATATTATTTGCATACTTACGCTGCATCTATTACTTTGAAGTCCCTGTTTATGAATATCGTATGGTGCAAATAATGTATCTGGTCGTACAGGTAAAAATAATTGTGTTTCACGTTTTATCTTTTCTTGATCTGCAATTCATCATATTATTTTATTTATGTATTATATTATAAACAGAAATAAGAAAAAAATGTTTACCTTGCGGCGATTGTATGATATCTGGCTGATTATTGAGCGCATAATCAGTAACTTGTTTTAATGTATATTCAACGAAATAAGTATGATCTCCGTGTGTGACATCAAGCATGGAATTATTCCTCGAATCTGGAGGAGTAATTATTGGTTGTTTCATATAGGGCTCAATGTGAACCGGAGAAGTAGTACCTCTGCGTCGATACATCATCAACATCACCGACAATACAGTGACACCAAATGCCATCAGACAACCAATAAGAAGCAAAATAAGAGGAACCATGCTCACTCCGCTGTCTAAAACAAAAATTGCCAATAATTTAATATCAAATATTATATATTTTTAATTGTTAGAATACATAATCTTATAATCTTTCTAAATGCTATTCTTACCTGTGTGCTTTTCAGAGTCTCTCAACATAATATCCTCTAATAAACTTACTTCACTTCTTCCTTTTGCATTTACGGCATAAGTAACAAGGTAAAAATGAGTCGCCGGAAGAAGATCTGCTACAGCAATTCTAAATATCGGTACATCTGCGGACACACTTGATGCATTTACTCTTAAATTACCAGTAAGCACTTCGTATGCCTCTAATCGAAATTCTTGTCTTAATCCACCGTCATATCCTGGTACACATTCTACTTCCAAGATTTCAGAACTTTGATTTAGGGATGCTTTTATTGTACAATTATTCAAAGGATTTGGTTTTACTAGAAATAGAATTATAAATTTAGTTGATCTTTTTTCTTTACATGAAACAAATATTTAATATGAAATTTCAAATATATTTCAAAAATTACCTGCTGGAATGATTTGATAGATGCAAGGTGCTTCTTGCTTTCCTATCGCGTTTCTTCCCCAACACGTTAAAGCTCCATAATCTCTTTCAGAAACTGGAGTATAAATAAGTTCGCTAGTTGTTCCATTGTTATCGTCAAATTTTGCTGGTGCAACTTCGAAATTTTCACCACTATTGTTGAACTCCCAAACAAATTCTACTTTGTTAGGATCAGCTTCCACTTCGCAGCGAACCTTTACCGATTCTTCTAATGATGCTCCAATAACGGATACTTCTTTTGCTTTGCATACAGGTGCAACTAAACAGGGATGAAAAAAATAAATTGAAAAATGGAATAATGAATATATAGATAGAAAAAATACATATTATTATATAACATATATACATATTTAATTAAAATATATAGAATATACATGTATAGTTAAATTATTTATTAATTTATCTATAACAATATTTATAATACATTTTATACTTACATTGTACTCTTAAAGTTACTATTGGACTTGTGGTTTCACCTCGATCATTACTTGCAAGACATGTATAATTTCCAGCATTATCACGACCTATTTTTTGCAGCACAAGACTCTGGGTACTCATAATTATTCCAGCCGATTGGTTTTGTGTTAATACCACATCCTTGAATTATTTGCCAATATTATTAATTATTATGATTAATATTAAGACAAGTAAATTGATACTAACAATAAGTTACTCACGTTGTGTCTCCACGTAATTTTATGGTGTTCTGGATTAGCCCGAACTTTGCATTCGAATAAACATCATCACCTTCTTTTATTTTTTCTGCATTTAAGGTACTACCCAAATGTAATTGTACTTTTGGTGGAACTGTGAAAAATATACGATTATTATCTGAATATTGTTCTTATAAGGATATGTGTTAAAAATACTCACAAACTACATTTAATTGAAAAAAGTCTTCTAAATATGCGTCTGGTAGTTTTGGATTTTCTCCTCGGCATTTGAGAATCTTTCCATGGTCATCCGGGATCGGTGAAAATATGAGCGTACTTATGACCACCGAAGTATTACCTCCAATGAGTACCTACATAATTGAATCATCCGCGAATGACGATATATGTATATACATCTTATAAATTTGTAGCAAATCATCAATATATACTTTGCCATTGTGATAAATGGCGTTTCCTTCCATCCAAGTAATACGTGCTTGAGGATGCGATCCCGTAGTCTCACATGTGATGGAGTAATCTTTTTCCGTCTCTAGAATTGTTGGTTTCGTTAAAATTTTCACTGACAGTGGTTTCACTGAAACGATAGAATAGAAATGATAAAAAAAAAATATATATATATGTGTGTATGTATGTGAAATTAATAATTCGATAATACAAATTTTTAACACTTACGATAAACATCTAAAAGAATGCTTTTCTCTAATGGAGGTATAAGATTTGTGCTCCAGGCTCGACATTTGTACGTGGTGTTACGATGTTCTCTTCTTAATTGAGGTACTGTTAATTTACTGACAACTAAATTTTTTCCAATTTCTTCTAATTTGCTATCCACTTCTTTCTCGTTGACCAACCAACTGACTACCGGTGTCGGTTTGCCTATATTTTAAAAAATCCAATTTCCAAATTCGTGAAATTTACGCTAGTTTGATAATTTTAAATAGTTGAACAAATGAGAATTACCTCCCCTTACTTCGCAAGATAAACCAAACTCAACACCTACTTGAAATGGTCCTGCGGTATCCCCTATCACCACACCAGAAGTATCATAAATTAAAAGCTGATAAGGTGGAACTGAAAATAATTTATAAATAATTAGAAGCCTTTTAAAAATTCTTTGTCGGATGCTAAATACTTTTTTCAAGTTGTAGACGAGAATTCCTACCTATTACTGTGAGATTTACTTGAAAATTTTTTGTGGGCGAATTTTTAAAATCTACTCTACACCGATAGATTCCTTCATCATCCAGTTGAACAGCTTCCAGAGAAAGAGTGGCTGGTTTTGTCATGGTGACGAAATAAGCTCTCGGTCCAACCACGGTGCTATCTGACCAATTCAGAGCTTTGTTAAATGATCTTCCTCGGACGTCGAAACTGAAAAAAAGACATTTATTCTGCAAATATTTGTTTCGAGTCGAAACTTTTCAAGATGAATAATACCTGTAGATTGGTTTCACAGCATCGTCGCGAAACCAAAGCACCATGTATACGCGATCTTCACGCGTGGACGGTTCAATGTCACAAGGCAATCTAGCGGTACGTCCAAGAACAGCACTGACTTCAAAAGTTGCGACTAAAAAAAAAGAAAAGGGAAAAAATAGAGAATTATATTTAGACAAGTACAAATCTTTTAAAAGTATTTATATAGTAATTATTTAGAATGAATCTTTCGATAGTTCTTCATTTATTATTCATTTCATAATAGATACATGTAAGCAAATAATAAAAATAAATATATCAGATATTTGATAAGATATATGACTGATCAGTACACGTAAAAGTTATTTATAAGACGCAGTTAACCTTGAATATTTGGAACAAATACCAAATACTTGTGTTTCAAATTTTACATAGCTGAATATCTATTTAAGTAGATACAACTTATATTTAGTCAGACACATATCTCCGACGATATATACATCAATAAATTACATTAATTCCCATTTGAAATACAAACTTTATATTTTATTTCCAAATCTTCTTTATTTTTTTCATTCTTCGTACAATTTCACCGGAAATTGTGATCAACGTACCTAAATCATCGTCCTTATCCCAGTTTCCTGTGGCATTCACATACACGACCACGGCGAGTACGTAGCCACTGATGATGAGTTTGATCGCGATATCGGCCAGCACCCCTATCGCCATTCCAAGGGGGAATGATCTAAGGGGTAAATTTGGTATATTCAGATCCGCTCTTTGCATAATGTCGCCCTGTGCCGGTCTGTCCCGTGGTTCTCCTTTATTATCATTCCACGTCAAGAGGTAGACGGCCTCCTCCCACCTCCACCGTTTCGTGTGCTATGTCCTCGACAAACGTACGATGCCTCAACTCTCTTCGTTCCTCTCTCTTTCTCTTTCTCTGGAGTAATGATAAAGGGACAGGGCGCAGGACTCGTTCACCGATTAATTCTACCGCTGTAGGAACCTTTCGGTCGAATTTCCTTTGTTCGTTCTCTGTTTAAAGCGTACATCGAGAATGGATCGTTTGCAAACGAGAGCTTTCGTGTTTAAAAATACGATACAGACACTTGTAAGGTTTTTTTTTTTTTTTTTACGTTTATTCTGGTTGTCATCATCATATCCGTCTTCTTCTTTGTCAAATCCAGTTGAATAATAAGGAAGCTTTCGTATTTGGATTAATTTGCTTGCATTGATTTGGGAGGTTGGAAAATGTAATTGGAATCAACTTTGATGTGTCTCGATGGATTGCTTAGTTTAGTAGGTCGTGTACAAACGTGTTCAAAATTATTGTCGTTTCACGAGTGTTAAAAGTGCCGGCTTTTATTAATTCACAGATACGCTTTGTCAATAATAATAACGATTAAAAGGATAATTTTACGTTTTCCTTGCACTCTTGTTGGATAAAAATCATCATTTTCAAGGATGAATAATATACCTTACAAATTTGACGAACTTTTGCTATGGAAGCTTTTCATCGTACCATGAAGGAACTCATTTTTCTTCCTCTTCGTTTCTCCGTTTATATCTTTTTGGATTTTGGACAACATCCGTTACCCGATTCTGATCAATTATAAAGGAGGACGAGATAGAAGAATTTTCACCTTTCGTTTACGCGAACACTATTCTTTTGCACTGTTTCGCGAACTGGCTGATTGTCCGTTTCAAAGAACGCGAAAGCTTTCTCGACATTTGGAGGGTTGTTCTCTGGCAGGAAAAGAGAGAGCAAGACAGAGAGTGATAAGAGAGAGAGCCGGTCAGCGGTGCTTTCTCGTAACCGCGTCGTTGCAATGGACACGCTTTGCAGGCGTCGCTAACCCGACGACGATGAGCGCCGATCGATTTTCGTAAAGTCAGTCTGATCTCGCTTCGTGTTTCGACGCTCTCGATTCCTGCACGATATATAGGCCCTATGTATGCTCCGCGCAACGCATACACGCGATGGCTGCGAATAGCAACGAATCCTCACGACATGTCACGACCCCTTTCTATATAGACGATACGAAAGCTATGTTCAAGAATGTTCATCGAATTCTACTGTTTGGTTATTAAAAATAGATTTTTTTTTATATAAATGGAAAATAATATTATAAAGATAAATTGATTGATCAATTGTTTTTTTTTTTTTGAAAGAATTGAAAGATGAACAAGAAATAAAATTTATAGAAAATATGTAAAGGGTTAATTTTTATTTTTTAACATTATTTTTTACCAAACAAATATGTGAAATGGATAATTTAAATAGATTGCTTCATTTAATCGGACGATTAACTAGGATTTATAAGTTTCACGATCGGTGTTGAATGTTGTATTAAAAATAAAATATTTTACCTTTTTTGAGCATCCGTGTTTTTGTTGCTTGAACTTTAATATTTGCTGAAATATAAAAAAAAAAATAAAGATTTCATCCTGTTCGAGGTTCACTGCGAGTGATCGGAAGTGAGAAACTCTCTCCTGTTAATAATGACATTATATTTGAAATAGTAATGTTTACAACATACAATTGCGACGTTACTACAGTTTTTTTTGTCATTTTTTTCTTCCTTTAAGATAATTGATAATGTTCTCGCAAAAAGAAAAAAAAAGAACGGTCACACGCATCTCGCTTCGATTCATTCACGGCCATAATGTGTTTTACAGTTGTGTTTCTTCTTTTCCTTTCTCTCCCTCTCTCGCGCTCGTTCGATCTTTCTCTCTCTCTCTCGCATTCTTTATCTCTTTTGTCGGGGAACGCATGGATTACGCGAGCCGGGATCCACGTCTAATCGCATGTACTAACGTGTCGAAAAATAAATGGCGAAATTGTACAATAATGGATGTCCGGTGTTTTGTTTTTTTTTTTTTCGTTTTTCCAAGTTCTTTTAAAGGGGATGTGGAGGCAATGGGTAATAGTAACCGAGCCGGAAATTAATTTCATTAGTATATTGTCATATTGGTGTCTGCTTTATGCTCTAAAACGTTCTCCAAAAGATGGGCGAAACCGGCCCATTGGAAATCTCGGGTCACACGGACTACATAACTTTCCTTCTCTTTCTCCCTTTACTTTTTTTTTCTTCCTTGCGTGTTTTTAGCTGATTGCTTGCTGCTGCTTCGCGCTCGTTTGCCTTAACAATAAGCAATAAGAACACGACATAGCTAGTAGTCGAACGCCACGTGTTCGACCTGCTTTTTCTTTTTTCGTTTTCTTCTTTCCTTTTTTATTCATTCTATGTGGATGTTTTTTTCGGTTTTTCCCCATTTTTTTTTATACTTTTTCTTTTCTTTCATTCCTAGCAACTGCTACGAATAGTCTCACCCTCGCTATGTTAAACGTACTGTGACCTATGGACTATGGCACTTGGTGCAACTAGTTCGGATTTCTTGGATACTGCTTATATGTAAGGTACTTAATTATTATCATTATTGTTAGTTATTTATATATATATTTTTTGTTATTATATATATATATATATATATTTTATATTTATATGTATATATTTATATGACACATGGTAATTCGTGCGTTTCACTATAATACACAGGCATGCGCAAGACGATACAGTCAATTTATTTTTTTTGATTTCTGCATTGCGTTGTACTATTCGAACTAGCAGAATTTTTGTTCAACAGATGTTTTAAACAAAACTATTGAGAAATTTTTGTCTTCTTTTTTAAATAAATATTAAAGAAATTGATAATAACAAAAATTTCTATTGATCGTGAAATTTTTCGAGATCAATATACTATTGCAATGTTTAGGTCGGCGTTTTTTCAAGGGAATAAAAATAATCTTGGCTGCATCACCTTGGACAAGAACGTTGATCGAGTCCAATTATCGAATTAATATCTTTTATATCGGTTTATGGGCTAAGTGGTCTATTATACATTTGAATAATACAATTGTCGCCGCGCGAACATCATAGAACGCAGAAAAAGATAAGTAGAGTGCAAGTGCGAGTTTTACATTTAAAAAGAAAATGATCATAAGTGCGTTGTCTTCTTCTCTCCTCATCTCTAGAATTCGAGTCCTCTTTTTGATCGCTAAATTTATTACGTCTATACGCTATACAGTCCGTCGGTTTCGCCTAAGAAAAATAAAAAAAATTAAAAAAGAACGATTCTTTTCTAAATATAGGCCATTGTTTTTTTTCCTGTTTCTTTTTGTTTTAATGATTAAATAATAATCATTAATAATTATTAATTATACTTCCTTTATGCACCAAAGATAAAATTTATTTTTTCAATTCCTATGCAGACATCTCCCTTTCTTCATTCCTATAAGTTCATTAAATATACATAAATTTTTTAAATATATTAGTACGTTATTTACCGGTTCTTTGTTTCTTTTTTTTTCATTTCTTTTTCATCTTTTAGCGTGTGAAACGGAAAATAATTAAAGTAAATCCACACGTATTTAATACAATACATATTGTATTGCTTCTTTCATTCTCGATGCGTGGATTCGAGTTGTTTTAATTTAATTTCGATTAATATTTTCCATATACTCATTTCTAAATATATCGACTTCAGTTATTTCCTTTTCCTTTTATATCGTTTGATCATCTCATGTATTGCGACGACGTATTATATTCAACGATTTATATCAATCATCTTATATCTAATAAACGCGAATTATATGAAAAAAATTAGTTCATACAAAAAAGTCTCGTCATCTTGCTTGTTTAATATTTTATCCTTCTGGTATTATGAATACCAGTATCTATCATTTTTCGTTTTTTTTTTTTTGCGGTATTTTTTTTTATATAACGTTAAAGCGTGGAAATCGAGTTTACTTAGCTAAAAAACAATGACTCGTTTAAACGCGCGCTTTTTTTTTCTGTTTTGTCTACTTAGAAAAGTATCTTTAAGGAGCAAAGTTTTTGGCCTTACGGCTAGTATATTGATATTATTATAATTATTATTATGATTTACCGTTTCTTTGAACGATATTATATATACTTAAGTAAGATATTTACGCGTGACGTATTTACAATTGAACTTATTGTACATATTTTCACGATCGCCGTCTCGTGAAAAATAGATGTTTTGCTCTTTTTCACTTACAAAACTCTGACTATCTATCCTGATAACTACTCTTTCTCGCTTGCACGTAATACAGCTTCTTTTTTTTTTCTCATTTTTCTTTGCCTCTCATGTTATTTCCGGTCGTCTCAACCTTATCCTTTCAATATATATCGCGCAAATCGTAAGATGCTCTCCTGGGTAAGACACTGTTATTATAATACCATTCCTACTATACAGGATGTCCCAATAAAAATTAACACCTTGATTATCTTTGAAACTATAAAAGAAAATTTTTAAACATATTATCATGTAAAAGAAGTATATAAGTTTATAACATAATCGTTTTTACATGTCTTTGCGTTATAAACATTTATATTTATTTTAAGAATCACGATCAACCAAAAAAGAAATATAGAATATTATTATTAAAAAAACAGAAATTATTTTTTTAAGCAACTGCACTTATAAAAAATCAATATGAAAATTGATCGTATAATCCTTAAACGTATCAAATAATATTTATTTGAAAAATTTTTCTCTGATAGTTTCTAAGATAAATAATAATAATTAAAGTAATAATTCTTACTTGGACACTCTAATATCGATAAACAGCGAACGTGATCATCGAATCAAAGAATATACAGTTCGTTCGGTTCGGAAGCACTGAACGTCCTATGTATCGAAAACACGGCGATCCATCTCGATCGCAATCGATAACAAGTAGACCCGAGAATACAAAAACGATCAACTTATCGATTATTATTTCCACGTATTGGCGTGTTGTACTATATGAAAATACAATGTAAGGCTGCGTTTATGCGTTTCACCCATGAAATCGCAACTTAATTTCTTGTTTATCGTTTTTTAAACCTTCATCGATTTCAATGTATCAAATAGTAGTAACAATATTAATAGTGTTGTTTAGATTAGCATATACATTTATTGAATTTCGTACTTCGTATTTTTACAAAATTCAAAATATATGTATATATATATATATTTTTTAATGGAGCATAAAATTTAATTGAAATAAAATTATTGATAACATATGGCATAGAGAAGTGAAAAAAAAAAAGATACATTGAATATGATGGAGGTTTAAAGCAATAAAATGATATACATCTGTTAATAAAACTGCGTTTTACTAAAATTCCTTGAATGACATTTGAGCTGCATGAAAAATTCATCTCTTGTCAACTTTCTGTCGACAAGATATTGATACCGATTACATAATATCAGTTAAGATATATCTGTCGAATAGCGCTGTATGTATGTATATTATAAGAACTTTTTTAGATGTACGTTTTTTAAGGCCATGGCATCTGTAAATCTTTCTTTGTATTACGTAAAAGTGGGAACTATTTTCAAAAAACTTCGGGATTATTTTAATCTCGCAAAATTGTCTGTTTCTGTCGCTTACGTACTTACAATTCTAATGTATTAGTCTTAATCGCAACGTTTCCATCCGTGAAGAAGCATATCATTACGCAATCGTATACCTACGGATATTACAAAGTTTAACAATTTCGTTTTCTTTTTTCATCAATCCGTGATAGAATTGCACAAAAAGTTAATAAATATAATTTTTCTCCGATGTATTGAAAATTTGAAAAAATAAAATACGAAAACATTCCTTCTGATTGGGATTATTAACTTGTGTTTGATTTATAAATTCAAGATTATTGAAACTACTATGCAATAATTACAAGGCAATTATTTTCGAAAAATTTCATTTTTATGTAATACCGCAGTAAATATAACAAAACAAAAAGTTAACAAAAATGATCAACAACGATGACAATAAGGATAAGAAAAAAAAAAAAAATAAAATAAAAATTACAATTGATAATAATATATTTTTTTATAATAGTATAATCAATGTGTTATATATATATATTTATATATATAATTAATTATATATATATATATAATACGCAAATTAATATTTACAGAATATATTGTGGCATTAATTTTTTCGGATTCATTTTTCTCACTGGTTCTTTTTTTTCTTTCTTTCTTACTTCTCTTCTTCTACTTTTGCAGTTTCATTTATTTATATCTAAATAACTCTATGTGTAGCTTCCTCTCTACCGCAAAAACGAAACCGAGAGAACTATGGCAACTAATGTAATTAATGGCAAGTTTTCTGCTGTTCGAAAGATCAAAGTATGTATAACGTTTCGGTGGACAGTACATATGGAATGAAACGATCAGAAAAGAAATAGAGACGTTATGACATAATATCAAACGAATAAAAAGAAATGAAAAGTAAAAATGAATCGAAGAAAACAAGATTTGATAAATAAAATGCAATTAATGTAAGACTTAACAAGAAAGAATTAAAAACACTTTACATTTATAATAATTTGACAAACAAATATATCAAATAATATACAATGATGAATGAATGAAACGAAAGTTTAAAAAATAATACAAATCATTATATATATTTAAATAAGAAATATCATATTTTTTTGCAGTATATAACTACTGATACTGAGGTTTTTTCTTCCTTTATATGAATGGGGATATATTCACAGGAAGAATTTTACGTGTCAATTTTAATTTTTAAGCTTTAAATGCTTTATCAAACGCGTATTTCTATACACATTCATTTAATTTATTATTCTTTTCTTCTTTTATAGTTTTTTTTTTTTTTTTATTATTAAAGTTTCACAGTACTTCAATGATTTTATTTTCTCAGATTATGGAATAAATATATTCATCTCAGAAAGTTTTTCTCTCTCTCTTCTTTTTTTTTATATCCAGTGAAGATCAGCTCTTATCACGAAAATTACAATGAATTCAAACATAACATTCTATTGCTGATTTTAAATCTTATATTCTAAAATACATCCAACAACGAGAAACAGAAGAAACATTTGAATCGTGCTGCAGCCAAACAATGAATTGTCCGTTTCAATTGCTTATCTTTTTCTTTTTTTCTTTCTTTCTTTTTTTTTCTAGAAATTTCATATTTGTGTAAAGAAAATTTTGCGTATTGTATAACATTCATTTTTTTCTTTTCTTTTTAGACTTAATCTTTTATTTAACTTGGGATATACTTATGTGATGTCAAAAAAGCAGAAAATACTCAAATTATACTATATTATATAAAAAAGCAAAATCATTTACTCAATATTCAAAAAACGCATTCGAAATGGCTGCTGCGCAAAACAATGTTTAAGATAATACAATAATTCAATATATTTTAAAATTGTAAGAAGATAGAAAAATCACAGAAAAATTCTTCTTCTTCTTTGGATAATCAAATATTGATAATGATATCCATTTGAATCAGCATTTGAAACATTTAAAAAAAATCTTAAAGATGTTACTAAATCTTCTTTTATAATTTCATTTTTCTTAAATATATAAACACATAATTAACATTTCGTAAATAATACTTGAAATAGAAGCAATCGAAATAAATTTTAATAATCATATTACGATATAGAGAGCATACGAGAATGTTTTAGTTTCTATTCGATAACATTTATGTGCTATCGATATTTTCTTTTTTTTCTTGCTTTTTTTTTTTATTTACAATGAAATTTTTTTTCTGTAGTTCTTCTATTCCAAGTTTCAAATTTAATTACAAAAAAAAAAAAACTTTTTTTTTCATGGATAAGTGTTTTTTTAAACAAAATAACAAAAGCATAAAAAGTATCACTCAAAAAAGAAAAGAGGAAAAAAAAAAAAAAAAAAAAAAAAAAAAAAAAAAATTTAAAAAGCTTTCTAATGTGCACATATGAAAAATGCCTTTGACATATGTCTTTATATTTTCAGTGCACATAACTTGTTAAACATTATATAGTTACACTATGTATAATATGACACTGCGGTGTATAATACTAAAGACCTTAGGTCAGTAAATTCAAAGGCAATTCTCATGTACCATTACCCATTTTCTACCAAATGATATATAAAAGTACTACGTACGATAATGAATACGACTGATTCGTAAAATTTTGTTTATGCAACAAAATTTTACTATAATTTCAAATATTTCATCTACTTATTTTATATTCATGATTTGCATAAATGGATGTGATTGCGTCTAAAATTATCGCTAATAGGCGCTTTTTGTTCATTTTTTCGTATAAGAGCTAATCGCTCTTAAAATACAATTATATAATATGATTAGAGATTTTATCGCTAACATAATATTAAAAAAATCGAATTATTTTAAAAATTCGAGATTACTTTTTTAAACTGTTCCTTAGACAGTATATTTTTGTTTTTTTTTTGTTTTTTGTTTTTTTTTTTTTTACTTCTCTTCGTAGATTTTTCGTTTTCTTCTCTCTCACTAGTATTATACACCAACGTACATTACGTAAATATTTTTTAAATATTTTATTTTGTCTTATTATGCACTTTCCCCATGCATTAGAACCATCACTATTCACAATATGGATAGTAGAATTGAAGAATTGTATATGTGTATTATGAGGTACACTTACGTTGCAAAAAAAATTCTTAGAATTGTACAGATGCTTCAATTTCATTTTGATTATTCCAGTTGTGAATTTTACATATCACATTTTTTAGACATCCGTTCCAATATGTCGTCATGGATTTTCATTTCGCTCGTGCTCACTCCCTATTTTTTGTAATTTATACCACAGATTTATCGACGTCGCAGATTTATCGCACAAGAGCTATCATTTATTATGACTGCTGCTAATTGCTCTTCCAACTTTTGTCTTAAACTGACTCGATTGCCTACAATTCCATTAGTATGAATACACAATATGCACTTCCTCATGTTTTTTTTTACCTTTAATGCACCAACGTATAAGTTTCATTCGAGTGTGAGTGAAAATTTTTTTAATGTGTCTTTCTCACAATTTATATATCGATGTTTTCGTTCGAGTAATAAGTCATTTATTTAATGTTACTGTCTATTCGCGTTTATTAACGATACGATTATACACAATTTACATCCGCGACACTGTGTTTCATTATAAGCTTAGAGAATTGTTTTTTTTTTATCAATGCTGTTGCATTGCACAAATTTTTTTCATTATTTAAACAGTTTTTTTTAAATATCGTCACGATCATTACGTGTCCTTTTTTTATTGACGTATGCACATACGTTATTTTTTATTTCCATCTTTTTACACAGATCCACTGCACTTTTTTTGCTTTATATTCGAAGTTAAAGAAACTTAATGAAAAAAAGTCACAAGAATAGTTTGTGGCATATTTTCGGTCAATTAATATTTAACCGCAGTAGTTTGTTTTTATTACACGTTTAAATAAATTTGATGTTATCTAATTAATAGATTTGCTTACATAAGAAATCCATTGTCACTGTTCTTCTTGTTTATCATTGTCTTTTTTTCGTTTTCATTGCGGAGTTCTTTATTACGTAATCGCAAGAAATAAAATCTTGACTTTGTGAAATCGCTTTCAACGAAGAACAATAAAAAAGCAAAAGAGAAGAAAATAATTTTCTATTAATTTTCTTCCTAGCAAAATGTGTATTATATCAAATAATGTTGAATCTCGATATCTGATTGAATACGAATATCAATTAACATGTCCATTTATATTAAAGAATACACCGAAACAGAGAGTATTAATTTTTTTAATAAAAAATATTATTGATAGTGATAATAATGATGACAATGACAACAATGATAATACAGTTCAGTGAACTGTCATTTACAAAAAATCGAATATAATCTTATAAAATAATGAAAGTGATTGTGATAATTTTAATTACCATGATAATGAAAGTGAAACGAGTAACGATAATGATAATGATAATAGTAGTGATGCAATGAAATTATTGTTAATTGAATATGTTAACAATAACGACAGCTTTATATAATAACAATCACAATTAGGGACACGAAAGAATAAGTGTCATAATAAAGAACTCTGCAACAAATTATTTTCTTGTTTGCAATATGTTGGACTTACAGATTCAATGTCGATTGATTGTTTTATTTAGTTTACGTTAGTTCCTAGTTGACCATAAGTGTATGTGACTCCATTGGTGCCGCACTATCATACAATGTATCTGTATCTTGTGTAGGTTCACCCTGAAGTTGACACTGATTACTTAATGTTCCAGCACCACAGTCACAAAAGAATCTGGAAACATACGCCAATTATCAATTTTTCATGCAATTCTATAATATAATAAATATATAAAAATTCATGCAATTTTATAATATAGTATTATAAAATTTTTAATTAATATTTGATTATCAATTATTTACCGATCGTGTCTAATGAATTCCACATCGTGTCCAGCATGACAAGTTTTTATACAATTTACGCAAATTGCATTGCGATCTGTTGTATTGCATGTTTGACAACGATAGAAATCGTGCATAGGAAAAGAAGTGTACGACGAAATTTTGTATAAACATTGGCCATTTCCAACTGCTTTTTCAACTGCATCTTGATTATTAAATATTTTATTGCCTAAAAAAAATAAAATCAATGATTGTCCATTTTTTTTAATCATCATTGTAAAATAAAAAAAAAAAAAATAAGACCTCTAGTTGTTGGTTGTACTCCGCTTGCTAAACACAAACCACCGAATCTATTGTTAAAAATTTGATTAAATTCTAATGTAGCTGTCGCATTGTTTGTTATTTCAACGCCGGCTGCTAATCCATCAAAAATTCGGTTTCTCCTTAAGACAGGATGTGATTGTGTAGAAATAAGCACTCCAGCTTGAGCATTACGAAATATATCATTCTCTTCAAGAACACCTACATTGTTAGAAATGAAAAAAAAATTATTTTAATTACTAAAATTACATGTTTACTAAAATTACATAAAAATAAAACTTACCTTTGCCACCATTAAATATACAAATTCCACCATCTCTGCCATCAAATATTTTGTTTCTTTTTAATGTAGGATTACTATCTGTTTTAATCCAAACTCCTGCCATTGCATTATCAAAAATTTCATTTTGTTCGAGTAAGCCTAAACCGCTATTATACACAAGAACGCCACCGTTTTGTCCACCCCATATTTTATTTCCACGTATTACTGGATTACTTCCAGTCCTAATATCATAAGACAATTAATATATAAAAATATAATGAAATTTCTTTTATCATACAATATTTTACCTTATTTGTACTCCTGAATACAAATGATTGAAAATATCATTATCTTCTAATTTTCCATGTCCATTATCATAAAAATAAACTCCAACTTGTTTTCCACTATGGATACGATTTCTTCTTAATACCGGTGTCGATCCTGTGGTTATCCAAACACCTGCTAATGTATTTGCGTACACTTCGTTCTCTTCAATTAAACCTTGTCCTTTCTCATGAACGTATATACCACCATGTTGACCATGATGTATTTTATTATGTCTAACAATAGGATCCGAATTTGTTCTAATCTGTATACCAGCTAAGGCATTACCATAAATATTATTATGTTCGATTAAGCCTCTTCCTTCTCCAAATATATATACTCCTCCTTGATGACCATTATAAATTTCATTTCTGCGAATAGTTGGATTTGAATTGGAAGTAATCCAAACACCGGCGAAATTATTCGAATGAATTTTGTTGTCGATAAATTGTCCTAAGCCATTTTCATGGACATATATTCCACCTGTTTGGCCATGGTGTATTTCACAATGCACAACCGTTGGATTAGCACCAGCTTTTACTTCAAAACCTGCTATTCGATTGTTATGAATATCATTAGCTTCGAAATATCCGAGACCATTATCGAACGTAAAGATTCCGACGTCCCTTCCATGATGAATATGATTTCTTCTCATAATTGGATTTGCATAATTTTTCACCCAGATTCCAGCTAATGCATTTCTAGAAATTTCATTATCTTCATAAGTTCCTTGAGCATAATCAGTGACATAAAGTCCAACGTTTTCACAATCCGATATGTCACAATTCTTTACCACAGGATTTGCTCCTACACCCGATACACAAACAGCTGCTCCAACTAAAAATTAAAAAATTAATAATAAATTTAAAAAAAAAACAGAGAAAAGAACTTGAAATAATAAAAAAATTTCTCAATAGAATTACTTACCAACACTCGAACTCCTAATTATACAATGATCAACTGTAGGGCTACAATTTTCACCAACTTCTAAACAATAGTGTTTATGATGCGGTACTGTACTAGTAACATCTGGGGTAAATTTTAATGTAAGGTGGCCGGCATAAGCTCGTTTTGCTCCTTCTACAAACATAACTGTAGATTCACTTTCTCTTTCTAATATAACAGATTCTGCAACATTTCCGGGTGCTGCTCCAATTAGTGCAACATCGCTATCGATTACAAGAAATTCGCCTCTATATATGCCAGCATGTAAGAAAACTAAATGTTGAGGCGCTTCTTCTGTTGATTGAGAATTATTTCCACAACAATTTCCTTGACCACTTGTAGTCGTGCTATTATTAGTCGAGGAACTGCTATTGCTTCTGAATTCATCTACATAATCTAATGCTCCCTGAACTGTATTAAAGTATGGCAAGTTCCGACCTTTAAATTTTAAATCCTGAAATCCTGGTCTAACATGTACCCCTCTATATAATTGTCTAAAGCTTTCTTTCCATGGATTTGGATAATCTGACTCATCTGGTGATACAAATTCAAATTTACAAGGTGCAGGATTAAATAATGGTAAGTCATATTCATAAACTTGTTGATATAACGACTTCCATAGTTCAGTGTCATTTGCAATTGTTTGAAAACGCTTGCAAACTTGAGAAACTCTACATAAATCCTGTTCCATTAGATAATTAAATATAGTAAGCAGCACTTCATCTGGTAATTCATATTGAAGGTAATGTGCTGCAGTATTTGTATTTGTACCTGTAATATAATAAAAGATTTTAAAATTCTTTCTTTTCTATAATAAAAAGATTATTTTCAATAAATATACCATCTGTGGATAATGAACAAGTCCGTCTGGGTCGTTTTCTTGCTGGCAAAGAGGAAGAACCTAGAGTGGCTCCTATACTACTACCACCCGAAGGAGGTAGGGCAGAGCTAGTACCAGGAGCAGGATCTGGATGAGGTGGACTTTTACGTCTTAAATCATAAGGAGATGAATGAGAATGTGATGGAGAAGGCGATGGTGCTGCAACACCAGAAACACTGGGTGATGATCCTCTTCCACCATTTCCACCCCCACCTCCACCTCCTCCTCCTCCTCCACCACCAACTCCACCACCAGGAGGTATCTGATTTGATGCTGAACATGGCAAATCGCATGGCTCGGCTAAAAAACACAATAATCTTAAATAAAAATAACTGATAATATCATATTTATATATTTAATATTTAATATATAAATATGATATTAAAAAAATAAATTATCAAAATTATAAATCATTCAAAATAACTTCAATATATATATCTTGTGCATATAATTAATTATTATATTCTAATATTCTATTTTATAAAAATATATTTAAAATGTTTTAATCAAAATTAATATATAATATAAATAAATATATATTTTGATATTTATAAAATATTAATTTAATACATATTTATTTAAATTACTAATTAAATGTCAAGATAAATAATATAATATAGATTTAACATTTAGGGATTAAGATAAGGATAGAAAATACAAATATGTTTTGAGAAACTATACTATAAAATTTATGACAGATATCATATTTCATATTCAATATTGATATGTCATTAATTATTAAATTATAATTTTTATAATAGAAATATCATTATTATTTTCAAAAAATACAGCTACATTGATCTACTAATATATTATGAGTTTATAAACTATTTTGAGAAAGTGGAACATTATTCTAATTTAACACAAAATCTGTAGGCAATGTGTATAATATCAGAGTGAAAGAGACATGATTTTCTGCCTTGAAATTACGAAAATATTATTTTTTGAAATCACGCAAATATCGATTATAAGTTTAACTAAATATCTAATAAATAAAAATTATAAAAAAAAGGGGGTGGGGTAAGAAATAGATTTTGAGCCGACATTCCAGAGTAAAAATTGACGATCGCGAAGTATATGATATCATAATCGATGTCTCTAAAAAAAAGGATTGAGATAAAAGTAGCGAACGTATGTTGATTTTGAGAAACGTCATTGAGGCATCAGTTTTACGTTTTTCGGCCATGCCGAGTGTGAGAAAATCGTGTGAGAAGACGTGGGCAGTAGGTTTGACGGAATTGTTTTACGAATTTTGATCAGAAAATAAAAATATAATTAATGAGAAGAATATCATTTAAATGATACCATAGAGAATTGTTAGGATAATTAACTAGGGAATATCGAAGTAGGTGAAGGCAAAGAAGAGAGTCGAGACAGGTGAGTAGTGAACCGAGCTCCGGATGCAGGGCTCTTACCCGAGGTTGTTCTCGAAGGAAGAGGAATCCTGTTTGCACCTTTTCTTCGGGATCTTCGCACGTAATTGCGCGACGATGTGAACGACGCACTTGGCATTTTTATCGTGCTTCCCGTAAAATTATGCGAGAAACGGTAAAACAACTAAACACTAAACAATGGCGACACTTCCACCGAGCCCAGCGGCCATCTTCTCATTGACGGTAGGACTGCCGACTAGTGCCAGACCGCCAATCGGATGAATTTCTGCTCTCCCCCTCTTTCCTCACCGACCTCCCTCTTTCCTATGCGATCCTTCTCTTGCCTTCTACCCCTTACCGATTCCCTCTTCTGCAATGGATCGCGACACAAGCAACCAACATCAGTATGGAGTTATGGAGACTGCAGACCGAAATACTGATTTCTCCTGCATAACTGCAATTCTATCATGTTTTGTTCTCTCAGTGATGTACGTCGCGAGCCTCTATGTATGGAATTCTCCGTACAGTAGGTATGTACCGATTAACAGCGATAACAAACTAACTAACATAAATGTCAATCTTTAAATGTCCATTTTCTGTAATCGTGTATGCTCTCTCGGTCCTTTAACAGTGAACCACAGGAAACCACGAACAAAGTGTAACTGTATTCACGTCGGCCGAGAACATGAAAGTCTACTCTTTGATTCTCCTGATTCACGCAGTCGCTTTTCTGGACAAGAATCGAATTCACAGCGCCTCTATTGGAGAACTTTTTCCTTCAATTTCTTCTGTAATTGGCGCGTCATTTAAAAGCAACTGTGTGAACTATCAATAATTATTTTCTGTCAATAAAATCGACATCACTTGTTTAATTAATTACCTATATATTCTTTAATATTATAAATTTTTACAATTCTTTTATTTAATATAACATAAATGTCAATCTTTAAATGTTCATTTTTTATATCTTTATAAATTATTTCAGAATTTTTCCATAAGAAAAAAATTTTAATTAAAAAATAATATTATAAAAAAAGATCAAAGATTAATAAAATACAAAATTTTTTATTGCAGAGAACATCCAACTGTAATAAAAAAAAGATTTTTTAGTGTTTTTATTATGTCTCTTATATCTCCTGCATTATTGTACTTTGGAATGAATGAGAAAGTATTTCAAAAGGTAATTGTGTATAAATTGTGATATCATTAATTACATAATAAATGCAATATTGTAATTTATAACTTTTAGGCAACAATTTGGGAGTTATTGGGACTGCGGTGGCCTGGTTTAATTCAAGCAATTATAATACCATTGTTATTAACAATGATACTATTTCTAGGCCCAATATGTGTACAAGGTTTCAATGGACTTTGGAGATTATATACTGGTTAGTATTTTAACTAAATTGTATGTTGATTAATATTTTAGATAGATTAAGTATAATACGTATCTTTTTTTAAATAATTAAATTAAGTTATTAAATAATTATTATATCATATTTTATGTTTAATCTTTTTAGAGCCTATGTATTGGTTTGGAAGTGTGCGAACAATAATATGGTGGAGAAATCTAGTAGTTGCTCCTTTGGCCGAAGAATGGACATTTAGAGCATGTATGTTACCATTGCTTTTGCAATGTTTTACACCAACTACTGCCATATTTATCTGCCCTTTATTTTTTGGTGTCGCTCATTTTCATCATGTAGTAGATAGGGTAAAAGCAGGCATGAATCTTAAACATGCATTATTTATATCTTGTAAGTATTTGTTTTTTAATTTTATTTTAATTTTAATAAATATATCAATTATTTGTCATAATAAATTTTTAATATAGGTTTTCAATTTGCATTTACAACATTATTTGGAGCATATGCTGCTTTTCTTTTTGCTAAAACGGGTATGATAATAAAATATATATTATAATAAAATGCTCTTAATTTATATATTACTATAATTTGATATATTACTTTTTATTAAAAAATTAATATTTTTCTAGGACATTTAGCAGCACCATTTACAGCACATTCTTTTTGTAATCATATGGGATGTCCTGATCTTTCTGAAGTAGTTGCAGTTAAAGATCCATTAAAAAGAGCTGGTTTGTTTTCTTTGTTTGTAATTGGATTAGTAGCTTGGTGTTTTTTATTAACACCAATGACAAATCCAAGATTATTTTATAATAATTTATTTTGGCATAAAAATTTTATATGAGTATGATTCATTTGCAATAATATCACTAATGTTATGTACAATTTTTATAAGAGAAAAATTAGTCTAGCTCAATATAATATTATTTAAAGAATTTATATTGCATGATATTTTTTAGGAACTGTTACTTAACAAATTGTATACACGTTAACGAGACTGTTTTGCAAATTATATGATATATATGTATATATATATACATATATATATATATATATATATATACAATTTTATCAAATAAGTACTTTTATAAGTTAGAATCTAATCAGATTGTATAATGAAAAATTTTTTATTTTTTATTTCTGGTCATGTTTTGTACAAGGTGATCATTGTGTAAAAAAGTTACTATAAGTAAGTTAATCATGCAATATAGAACTGATATAAAATCACCGTAGTGCCTCAAATTTAATTCAATTTACATAGTGATATCTTAAATGCCAATAAAATTTTAGGCAAAATTCTTAAAATTTCGTAAACAAAGATGTTAATAAAATATTGTATAATTAAAAAGATATAACATTGTTATAATAAACAGTGCGTTATCTTGAATTGATAAAAAAAGAGTTATTTCCATAAAAATATATGTTTTTGGAAATTTTTTCTGACATAATGTACAATATATGAATTTTTATTTTAAATTTATTTAACTAATTCCTACTTACATGTATAAAAACGTATTTACATTCATATAAAAAATTAACAATACACTTACTGTTTATTGAAATTACAGAATTAACAAATAGCAGTATTATAATATTTGCCATAAATGTGTACAGCTATTTATCTAGAAAAAACAAAAAAAATATATAAAAGTTTAGTTATTAAAATATCTTTTAATGTGGAAAGATCAAATTAATTTATTATTGTATCTTGCAAAATATGTATTTGATCATACACATTTTAATCACAATTTATTGTTGATAATATAAATTTTTTCTAAAGAAAAAAAATTGAATTATTTAATATAAATGTTTATATAAATATTTAGATTGTTTTAAATAAATTGAAAATTTATTCAATATAAAATTTTATATTGAATATTTTAAATAAATTTAAAGAACAGAATTTTTAACATGAATAAATCCATTCTTTTTATAATATAATAATATAGAAAAAATATACAATTATAAAACTTTCTACTTAAGAGTAATCAAAGTTATATTATCTTATAAGATATTATAGTATTTATTTAAAAACAATATAGAATGTAATTTAGAATATTTTAAGTAATGCAAAGAAAGTGCATATTATTTCTTGTCAACTAATATACTTATTTAATAATTATTATTAATTTAATTTAATTTATCGTTATAATCTTTAGAAATTTATTATAATTTAATTATTATCACTTTCATATTGCATTACTTATAAGTGAGACTGTTTTCTTTTTGAAAATTATTGTTAAAATTAAAAATATTAACAAAATATTATATTATAAAATTGTAATTGCAAATATTTTTTTGTTAATATTTTAAAATAAATGAATCATTTTTGGACATAAACATCATTTTTATAAGTTTTTATAAAATGATTTTTTTAATATTACCTTCATGTTTGACTAGGTCCAGGTGTTGCATCAGAATTTTGTGACTGATTGAGAAATAGTACATTACTGGTTTTTATACTTGGACCTGTAGATATAAGTGATGGACATGGACTAATACATGGTGTTGAGGAATGACTATTACTTAAATCACATTGGTCTAACAGTTTCCAAAGTTCTTCTGGTGTAGGTCCACCAGAGACATCTGTAATTGATATGCATGATATGATGTTAATGAATTCATTAAAGAAAAAAATAATGATATTACTTTGAGTAGAAGAAAAAGAAGGTTCTAAAGCTGTTGTAAGATCCCACATTTGAATAGTCCCATTAGAATGTCCAGTAAATATAAAACGTCTTGGTCTTGAACCCATACGGCTAGATCCTTCACATTCATGTACATAAAATGAACTTATAATACTACCATCCACTGATTTAATTACACAAACTCTCTTTCCATTTGATGCTAAACGTACAAATAATTGATCAGTTTCAGGTACAACTTTTTGAACAAAGACTTGTTCATCATCTTGTTCTCCAAATGGTCCTATGATTTTAAGTACAACAATTGTTATAATTATATTAAATCATTAATAATATTAAAATTTCATTATTATTTTCACTATTATTATACCATATCAAAAAACATACCAAAATCATTTCCAGCATTGTAACTAATACAAGATTCAATTGCTTCTAAAGATACAATTTTAAAACTAGCTTCGGGTGTAGATCCAGGTTGAGTAGAAATCATTCCGCGAAACCTTGTTACTGCCCAACTCCTAACATGATTATATTCTGAACAGACAGATACTAAATATTTTTCTGACAATGTTACCTGTAGTATAATTTAATATACACATAAATAATTTGTAATTTTTTCTTAATATATATAATTTTATAAAGAAACATACTTTTGTTACACTACTTTGATGCACTGTAAATGTTTGAAATAATTGTGGACCATGTCCTACAGTTTCAGGATGTTGAACTATAACTCTAACGCTGCCAGATTTTGTACCATATGCAATTTCTATCCAATTACCACAAACAGCTGTATAAGAAAAATGATAAAATTACAGTATATCTTTTCTATTCAAAATATTAAAAATTTTTAATATAACTACATCTCTCAATATATAATATATAAATGACACAATACCAACATTACATATATGAAAAATTGTAATAATGAAAAAAATATGTATTTATAATATATAAGATAATGTGTATAATATATAATTAGTTAGTACATAATAAATGACCTACATTTACATGCGTTATGCCATGACGAAGGAAGAATATATAGTAAATTCATAAAAAATTATAAATTATTCTGAATGTTTTTTAACTATAAAGAATATATTATTTATATTTTAATAAAATTTTATGTATATATATGCTAATAAAAGCAATAAATATAATATTTACAATGTATGTAAAATTATAGTTTTTGTATGATATGTACTTTGAATTGTTTGAAATGAAGAATAACTATGCAAGCAGAGGTACATAATGTCTATTCCCTTCCCCTCTCAGATCCATAAAGGTGTTATGTCACTTGAATAGTAATAAAAGCAAAAGAATATAAAAATATTATAAGTACAACTGGATGCATAAGGATAGTGGGGGTGTGCAGTAAGATAAAATAAGTGTTTTGAGTATATAATCCCTATATATTCATAATTATAATTTGTTGAATATATATTATTTTGTTATATATTTTTATTCTAATTTAAAATGATATAAATAAAGATTATTTCTTTAATATATGAAAAAATGTATACACATATATAGTTTTAATGGAAATGGCATTAAAAATAATATGTACATGAATATGGATTTGTGCACAATTGTGATTTAATACCGAATAATATACTATACCTGGAGAGGAAGGGTATGAATACTAATCAAAATAATGCATAATGTTCAATGTCATATAAAATGTAGTAAAATATATGTCAATTTAAATTGTGACTTGAAAGTGAAAATATTGTAGAACATTGTTATATTGACCCATACTTGCCTTGTGCTATTTATCCAGTTGTACGAAATCATGAAGCAAAGAATGTAATAATAAACTCATATTAATATTCAAATATATTATTGAACTTCGTAATAGAAGATAAAATATTTGTATTTAAATAAATAAAATTATTGATGTGTTTAAGAAAAAAATATATTTTCTATTACAAAGAACAAATATATAATGAAATTTACACAAACAGAATTAGTTAATTACTATTATTATAATTATTAAAATTGTATAATCATTAAAAAATATTAAAAAATAAAATTTATGTAAATTATAAAAGTGACGTTTGTTATTACATTCCTCAATACAAGCGGACTTAATAATTAAATGTTAGTCCATTTATTTGTACGTCACTGGAAAAGATATTTCTGCAATGGAAATACTGTAATATTCAATGTTATGACTATAAGTTACTTATTATTTACCTTCAATTTTTATATTTACTATATATATATTTTCATATATATATTTCTATTTATTTATTTATTTAAACAATATTATGATATGATAAAAATGAACGTAAAAACTTACATGTTTTTGGTGTTAAATATACAGATATAGCTGTAATGGGATCATAATTTGGATCACGATACAATTCAGTTACAAGTAAATCATTATCTTTCATTCTTAAAGGAATTTTTCCATATCTGAAAATCAATTTTATATATTTTAATAATTATGAAAATAATTTTTATTAACTTTATAAATTTTAAATTACCAATATAATATATAGATCCATTATTGCATCCTAATAAAAGAAATGAACCAGCTGTATCAAATGATAAAATGGGTACTACATCTTGTATTTGCCAATGATGTGTCATAGCGTGCCATACACCAATTTTATCAGTAGGAGATAAAGCAACTAACTGGCTTCCAATAAAAAATAATATTCTACACGAACATTTAAATTGAATGTGCCAATATTAGTTTTCATTCCATTTGCTGAAATACTCCATAGTCTGACTTGATTTCCATAGGAAATAGCAACCATTTTAACATCTCCACTGGTACTTAATTTTGATGTTATTGCCACTCTTTCAATTACTGATTCTATGTGAGGACTTGTAAATGCATGTTGCCAACCAGATGAATCTTTAAGTCGATAACATGTTATAAAATGAGCATAAGCAATCACAATCCAATTATGATGTGCTTTTATGATTTGAACTCTTAAAGGATCAACCCACGATGAAACTATAAAAAAATTTGTCAAAAACTTTTTTCATAATTAATATACGTATATATGTATATATGTAAATAATATATGTAACTATTTACCTTGTTGAGGTCCGAATACTAAACTAATATCATTTTTATATAATTTATTTAGATCTGCTGAATTGTTCCTAACATGTCTTAAATCTAGAGATGATGTGCGCGAATGTGGTAAACCTTTTTGTTGAATTCTATAATCTAATGAAGAATTTCGCATGTGACTATTAAGTACCCCTTTATGATTTTGTTGTCCTAGAAAAAAAAATAATATATATATATATATATATTAAATATTTATAATTCTAGTTAACTAAAGTAAATTTATTAATAGTTTAATACCATTATTATTATGGTTATTTGAAGTTCCAGGAATTGGATTTTGAGATGTAGATGGTACATCTACTCTTGAATTAGTATTATTAGTTGGAATTCTACCATGAACAGATACATCTCCTATATTTGATGCAACAGTAGTGGGTTCTTGTAATGGTATACCTTTTCAATTGCAATATGTGAAATATATATATTTTATTTCATCTATTTTTATTTTAAGAAAAAAGATTATTTAATCTTACTTGGTGGTGGTAAATAACCGTAAAACAAAACATCTCCACAAGATGACTGAGTTAAATCTTCACATAACATTAATCTTTTAACTAATGGTATAATACCATAATATTCAGCTTCGTGTCTTAATGTACGAAGATCTACATTTTTTAAATCAATATCTTTTGTACGAAGATAATTTAATATAATAGAAAATAATTTTGGATCTCTATCTATAAATAATGCACCAATTTCGTCTCTATGACTGGCAATTCTATTACTTAATAAAGCTGTAAAAAATGAATCTGGAACCCATGTTAATGTTTGCTTTGATGTTGAGAACCTAAATAATAAATAATTTTAGATGATTACAAAGATAATTTATCTAAATAAAAAAATTTCAAATTATATGACAATATTTTAACTATTGATTAACAATTAAAACAAATTATATTATATTATATTATATAGTTTTCAAAGGCAATTAAATGCTTGTTTGTACCTTGTTCCACCAACGTTTAAATGTACAATATCGCTAAGACCAAAAGAAGGAGGTATAGCCATTATTATAACTAATTTAAATGTCAATTTTTATTTTGATAATACATGTCTTATACAATACATATCAAACAATTATAAAACTACAATTTACTTTTCATAGGTTATGAACAGCAACTTTGACTAAACTATAAATTTGCACATGCGTAATGTGAGTATCGTTTTAATGAAATGAAGCTAAAATTTAAAATATTTTTAAATGAAATTCAAATAAAAAAAAATGATTAAAATTATATGTTCAAAATTTTAATTAAAGTATTAGAAAATATTATAAATTAAAATTATTATTCTACATTAATAATTCTTATATAAAAAGCTTAATATTTATTATTCAATGAATTGTTAAACATTCGAACATTTCTTAAAGTATTTTTGATTTTTGGAAATAAAAATTAAAATTAAAATTTAAATTTTAAGGAATAATTTGAAATTAATTGATTGAAATTTTTTAGTTTGCCAAATGAGAAAAGTCTTATTTTATACACACACACACACACACAATAGTATTAATCGTAAAATAAATAATCATATAATTGTATATAAATATATATATAATTATATACATATATATCTTCTTTACTTAATTAGTAATACTATCTATTTAAAAAGTATCCAAATTTATCGTACATTGATATCGATAATAAAATATTAATAATTTTTGATTAGTATTGCCATCTTTTTGGAAAATATTGAATTTTTTTCACTCACATAAAAAAGTTTCGATCTCTTCAATTTTTTTAAAGAGATAATATCATTAACAAATTTATTTTGTTGTCCAGAATGTTGTAAATGAAACATAAAGAAAGAATAGAAAATAACGGGAAAAGAATAGAAATAAAAAATAATAATTTATTCGAGCTGAGAATCATACATATCTTCAAAGATAGAATAAGATAAATAAGAATTGAGAGTCAGAGTCATCTCTTGAATCTTTTAGAAACATGATTTTTTAAAGAAATATAAATTTCAAAGATGGCGTTAATAATCAATTCTTATTATATCTCTATCCTTCTTTCATTATTTGCTATTCTTATTTATTTTGTTTCATTTACGGCACTCTGGAGATGGCGCTGATTTCAATATTTTTATTCTATCTCTATCCTTTTTTCACTATTTGTTCTCCTTGTCTATACTTTACAAAATTCATTCAAGAGACTGCATCATATTTTTAAGCTTCGAGACTTTGCTTTATATCTATATTAAAATATTCTATTTCGCGAATAGAATAGTTGTAGAACAATTAAAGCTTAAGAATGACAATATTTAAATATTATAAACACGTAAATATTACGCAAAAATAAATTTTTTTATGAAGCATGAATTAATTTGAACTGTTCCTGATATCTTTTTACTACTTTCTCTCAAAATATACAAAGTATATCATGAAACTTTCGCGTGCATTGCAATTTTTGC